GTGTCTCTATCACTCCAAGGATCTAGCCTGTTCCTGCTTCCACCACCTTATTTATTTATTTTTTTTGTCTTTTTTCATGTCCGGCAACGGACCGCAACCCTCAGTGTCGCGCCTGCACCGGACTGGGACCGGCAACGGGATCGCAACCCTCGGCGTTGCTCCCACGCCTCGCTCAGCCAGTGAGCGGGAACCGGTCTGTATGTGGGATCCGAACCCTCAGCGGGAGCGCCGCCGCGCTTCCCAAGCGGTGCACTGTAGCAGTGCGCCACCGGGCCGGCCCCCACCACCTTATTTTAACGAAAGCATGGCAGGGATACTGCCACCTTTAATTCAAATCCTCTCCTTCTTCAAGTATATTGCACTAAAGTTCTTGAATTAGTTAAGTAATAAAGGAGATAATAGATGATTTCGTTCCTAAAAGAAATTGAATAGGTCAATTTAAATTTGGATATATTAAATATTATCTGTAAGCCAATACAGGTTGAGTATCCCTTCTGAAAAATGCTTGGGACCAGAAGTATTTCTGATTTTGAATTTTTTTGAATTTTGTAATATTTGCATACATGTAGAAAGAGATCTTGGGGATGGAATCTATGTCTACATATGGAATTCATTTATATTTCATATACACCTTATACACATAGCCTGAAGGTAATTTTGTACAACATTTTAAATAATTTCGTGCCGAAGCAAAGTCTGTGTACACTAAAGCACGTGAGGTCAGGTGTGGAATTTTCCACTTGTGGTATCATGTTGGTGCTCAAAAAGTTACAGATTTTGGAACATTTCAGATTTCAGAGTAGAGAGATGGTCACCCTGTGTATTATTTCCTAAACAATGCAGTTAGCAATCTGCCCTTCTTTATGTGTTCTTTAAATGCATGGTAGAAAGGGCTTGGCAACAGCAAATAATGGTACATCCAGTGTCTTTTCCTTAAATTTCACCAAATTTATAAAATAGTCTACAAGCATATCAATATTAACATATCTCGGTTCTTCAAACCCTTTTTTCTTCTTGATGTGCTAAGTTGGACTCAGTCTGTTAGTAATTATGGTAAATTATGAAAGGATTAGTGAAGCAATGCTAATTCTTAAAACATTCTTAATTTCTGCTTTTAAGCCTATAAATGATTCGACTAGTTTTCTCTACTAAGAGAAGACTAAGTCATTCTTACGCTCTAATTAAAGATAGATCAGTTGGACTACATATTTTATCTTTGCATAATTAACAGCAATATTAACAGGGCCTAGAAATAAAGAGTAATTCATAGATTTTAAGTTTTCTTCATGCTTTCTGTTGGTAAATGAGTTAGGATTTCTTTGTCCACAATCCTACTGCACCCAAACTAAAAGCTTTAATTTTATATGAGGAATTCTCCAATTTCCATACACCTTTCTGTATGAGGCTTGTTCCCTCAGACATTTCCTTGAGAGACAGATCCAGGATTAGCCCAGCTCAGTGTTAATCCTTTAATACAAGTTCAGGGTCTGAATCCTTTTATAATGTTTTGGACTTGCTTGGGTTCTAATCTAGCAGAAAGACAGTTTTATTTGTAGTCTTTTCCCTTTGTTGTTACCTGAACCAGCTCTATCACCCTGATGTGATTCTTACAGGCACACCTAGGGTTTCTGCCCTGGCTGGGGCCTTTTCCTGGAAGGTCCTTCCCTAGGTACGCACATGGATCCCTCCCTCACCTTCTCCAAGTTCTTGTCCAAATTTTACCCTCTTAGAGAAGTTATTCTTCATCACCTCATTTAAAGCTATAACTCCCCCACCCTGACTTTCCTTATCCTGGTCAATTTTTTTCTTCATTGCTTTGCCTCCTTCTGATAGACACTATATATTTTATTTTGTTCTGGTTGTCATTTCTAGAACATAAGTTGTTCAAGGGCAGTTATTTTTTTGTCTGTTTTGTTCACAGGTGTATCTCTAGTGTTCACAATAGTGCCTGGTTAACAGTAGTTTCTTAATTTGTACTTGTTGAATAAATGGTTTTCATTTACAGTAGCAATATGAGATAGTTCTTTTCCTATGTTATATAATTAAAATCTAACCTTAGCTTTTAATACTGCCACTGAAGATAATTCATGTTAATCATGACACCACTTGGCCTTTCAGTAGTTACTTCTAGTATCAGTCATGCTTCTTATTGACATCTAATTAGACGTAGTAAATGGAAAGGAAGAGGCCAGTGTGATATGGTGCTGTGGCTGGACTGTCCCTCCAAGCTTGTGTTGGAGCTGAATCCCCAATATGGTATCCAAAAGATGGGGCCTTTAAGAGGTGATTGGATCATGAAGACGCTGCCCTTACTAATGGATTAACAGGTTGATGGGTTGTCAGGGAGTAGACTGGGGGCTTTATAAGGAGAGAAAGAAGCAAATTAACATGCTCTTGCTCAGCCCTCTTGCCATGTGATACCCTATGCCACCTCGGGACTCAGCAGAGAGTCCCCACCAAGAAGAATGCCCTCCTCACCAGATATACCCCCTGAATCATGGGCTTTCCAGCCTCCAGACTGTAAGAAATGAATTTTGTTTCTTCATAAATTACCCAGTTCCAGGTATTCTTTTATAAGCAACAGAAAATGGACTGGTACAATTGGCCTTTCTACAAGCATACTCATAAATTCCTTAAAACGTTGTGTATCCCTTGAACCAAAGGGACTGGGTGGTTCTATCAAGGGAAAATGATCTGTGGAGCCCCACATCAGAACCGAGATCTGCTCAGGGTCATAACCGATAGGCTGAGGCGCGAGGGGACCAGGTGAAGCTAGGCTTAGACAGGTGGACGTGGAAGCTGCGGCGGCAGCGTGACCTGCCAAAAAGACACTCACGATGTGGGGAGACTGCCGGCTCATCCCAATCACGGTCCGGTTGACCCTCCTCAGCAGCCGCTCCATGATGAGCTGGATGTGCATGCCCGTGGGGCCCTGAGAAGGAAACACAGGATCAACACCATTTCTTCTTCCTCATTTCCACTTTCGGCAGAGAAACTGGGATGGACAAGTTTTCTCAGTAGATCTCATTCTGACTCTTCCCTACAAAGGCATCCTTTGTCCAAAAGGGAAAAATGGTTTCACGGAATAATATATAACTTTGCAAAGAAAAGCAATTGAAAATAAATGGCTATAACTCTTAAGAGACGAATGTGGTAGGCAGGGACAGGCACCTCCCCAATAGCCCAGATTGTTCAGGTTCACTGAGAGCTCACCGCAGCCACCAACGCAACACATGATATGGGGGACCTCCATTAGCATGAGGTACTCAGTTCTGATGCTGAGCAGATCAGGTTGCCCAGGACAATAGGAACACTGTGGAAAGTGCAAGGCAAAAATACAAAGTTCTGGCTACCTTCTGTGTAGGGGGAAAAAAATCTAGAAATTTAAGTTGAGGGGATCATTATGGAGTGAATGTTTGTGTCCTCTCCAAATCTTTATGTTCAAGCCCTAACTCCCAATGTGATGGTGGTAGGAGATAGGGCTGTTGGTAGGTGACTATGGTCAGATGAGGTCATGCGGCTCGGGCCTCGGTCTGATGGGATTAATGCTCTTATTAGAAGAGGTACCAGAGAGCGTTTCTCCCTCTCCACCATGTGAGCACACAGAAGATAGCTGTCCGCAAGCCAGGGAGAGAGCCCTCACCAGAACCCAACCATGCTGGCACCCTGATCTCAGAGTTCCAGACTCCAGAACTGTGAGAAATGAATTTCTGTTGTTAGTTCATACAATTAATAATGCTTATGGTGAAAAAAGTACCAACGTGACCCGCTGGCACCCTGATCTCAGAGTTCCAGACTCCAGAACTGTGAGAAATTAATTTCTGTTGTTAGTTCATACAATTAATAATGCTTATGGTGAAAAAAGTACCAACGTGACCAACAAAAAATGATTGGACTTACTACTTTAACAGAGCTCTAAGATCAGTAATTTTGAATGCCCCTGTTTATGACAGGGAACATTTTGGGGAAGACAAAGCAAAAAACAAAAAACAAACCCCCCTAAAACAAAAACAAGCCAATTAGATCTCCCTGCACAGAATTTAAATACATTCGAGTCATTTCCAGAGAGTCTTTCTGGAGATGAGAAAGAAAGTAGAGATATAATATATTAAAAAACAGGATCAGAAATGGAAGAGACATAAGCAATCATCTAGAAGGATTCCTAAATATTATTGAATAGGAAACTGAAGCTCTAAGAGATTTGCCTAAGGACAAATTGCTGCAAAGTGGTAGTATTGACTAAAACCCAAATGCTCTGATTCCTATGTTTCAGATTAAGTTTGGATCATAGAATATGTTCTTACTAGAACATGGTTCCTTGGCTAAACCAAAGTGCATAGTACACTGTTGCCAAATTCATAGGGCTTGGAGCTTGATTTTACTCTTTTTTTTGTCTTTTGTCTTTTTCCGTGTCCGGCAACGGATCGCAACCCTCAGTGTTGCCCCTGTACCGGACCGGGGACCGGCAACGGGATTGCAACCCTCGGTGTTGCTCCCGCGCCTCGCTCAGCCAGTGAGCGGGAACCGGTCTGCATGTGGGATCCGAACCCTCGGGCGGGAGCGCCGCCGCGCTTCCCAAGCGGCTCACTATCCAGTGCGCCACCGGGCCGGCCCCAGATTTTACTATTTTAAAGAACTACTTTTTAAAAAAAGGGTTACTTTTCAAAAAAAAATTTACTATGTTTATAATATGATTAGTCACATTTATTTATTTCCTATAAAGTCCTTGGTTAGGAACCAAATCCCTAATCACAAAATTCCTTGGGAAAATTTATCCTATTTTATAATGTGGTTTCTATGAGCACTTTGAATCAAAAAAAGGGGAATGACCTATAATGAATAAATACCAAATAAATGAAGTAAATAGTAAGGGGACTACAGGGGCTCAGGGAAGTAGCTGGAGAAAGCAATGGTGTCCTTGTGTGCTTCTGAGGCTGAGGCGTGGACTGGCAGAAATGCAGAAGTGTCCGTGTAAATGACCAGCAGGAGAAAAGCCAGGATGTGGCTGCTGTGGATTGAACTGTGTCTCCCCAAAGTTGAATGCGTTGGAAGCTTGGTCCCTACTGTTACTGTGTTAAGAGGGTGGGAAATCCTATCATGGTAAATTGAAAGGCGGGGCCTTGAAGAGGTGATTAAGTTGAAGGCTTACTGGTGGTCATCGGTGTAGTTCTGAGGGACTTAAAAGGACAGCATGTGAGAGTCTGTCTCTCTCTCTCTGCTCTGCAGTCTCACAATGTGATACCCTGTGCTGCTGAAGCCACCACCAAGGAAGGCCTTCATCAGATGTGTTCCCTGGATTTTGGACTTTCCAGCCTCAGAAACTGTAAGCAATAAATTTCGTTTTCTTACACATTACCCAGTTCTGAGTATTTATGTTATAATTAACAGAAATGGACTAATACAGTGGCCAAACTCTGGTGGACCCTGACAGGTAAGCTAAGGATTTAGCTATGGAAAAAGGTCTGGAATGTTCTTCATGGCAGAACTAAATCCAAAGATACTGTTAAGAGAAAGGGTTTAGGCAAAAATGAGTAATTTCCCTGTTCTGTGGGAACATCTACGCCACGCAGCCATCACGGGGGTGGTGACTGTGGTTTGGAGCAAGATATCTTTTCTTCTGAGCCCTCAACTGATCAACTGAACACATTCTGCAAAGTTCTCCAGCTTCCCTGTTGGGGGCTCTGCAGAGGCCTGTGGGCTATGCTACCTCTAGGCTGGTTCAGTCCCATGTTTTCGGGGTCAGGGGTGTGACTAGATCAGAGAAAGATGTCAGATAAGAAAACACATAATTTCCACTAGGCTCCAGAGNCTCTAAGAGATTTGCCTAAGGACAAATTGCTGCAAAGTGGTAGTATTGACTAAAACCCAAACGCTCTGATTCCTATGTTTCAGATTAACTTTGGATCATAGACTATGTTCTTTCTAGAACATGGATCCTTGGCTAAACCAAAGTGCATAGTACACTGTTGCCAAATTCATAGGGCTTGGAGCTTGATTTTACTATTTTAAAGAACTACTTTTTTAAAAAAGGGTTACTTTTCAAAAAAAAAATTTACTATGTTTATAATATGATTAGTCACATTTATTTATTTCCTATAAAGTCCTTGGTTAGGAACCAAATCCCTAATCACAAAATTCCTTGGGAAAATTTATCCTATTTTATAATGTGGTTTCTATGAGCACATTGAATCAAAAAAAGGGGAATGACCTATAATGAATAAATACCAAATAAATGAAGTAAATAGTAAGGGGACTACAGAGGCTCAGGGAAGTAGCTGGAGAAAGCAATGGTGTCCTTGTGTGCTTCTGAGGCTGAGGCGTGGACTGGCAGAAATGCAGAAGTGTCTGTGTAAATGACCAGCAGGAGAAAAGCCAGGATGTGGCTGCTGTGGATTGAACTGTGTCTCCCCAAAGTTTAATGCGTTGGAAGCTTGGTCCCTACTGTGACTGTTAAGAGGGTGGGAAATCCTATCATGGTAATTGAAAGGCGGGGCCTTGAAGAGGTGATTAAGTTGAAGGCTTACTGGTGGTCATCGGTGNAATAAAAGCTGACTTCCATTTTCACCAACATTTGGCTTTTGTGTGGTTTGCTTCTGAAAGGGGGCAGACAGCTGGACCTGTGCGTGGTAACCACTCAACTCACCACATCCTTCCTGTCCAGCACCTCCAGGATGCTGCTCAGCAGCTGAGAGCTGGCCTCATGGTCAGGCCTGCTGGAGTGGTCGTCCAACTGGCCGCTGAGCTGGTCCGTCAGCAGCGGCAGCAGCACGTCTCTGCATTCTGAGAAAGGGAAAACACGGTTTGCACGTGCAGCGCTACCTCCTGAATTGCCCAGCTCCCTTCTGCAAGTCTCCCTGTGCCTGTTCCCCTGGCTCCGGGCTCTGGAATCAGCCCTGCAGGGACGGAGTCCCTCCAGGTCACAGAGGAGCATGTGGTTTCAGGCCTGGAACTTTAGCCTTGTCACTGCATTCAACAAACTAAGAAAATTACACTCTGACGGGGACATGTGAGCATGTAGCAAAGTGTTCAAAGTATTGAACAATTTCTTCAGCTCCTTAAAATGCCAACCTGACGCGTGAAACCTAAGTCATGTGAAACTAATAAAACTAAGCAATTCACACACTTTTTCAAAAATTATTTCACCTATTGTAGGAAATTTATTATAAAATTCCTATAAATGCTCAGCTTCCCTAGTACATTTCCTGGGACTCCCGGACATGGTGCTCATGTCTTTCCAGGCAGGTGGATTACAGAAAGTAAGGTATGATCTATTAAGTCTTCCTACTGGGATCTTCACTATTATAAAACATTATTATGATGAGTCCAGCTACTCTGACCACTACAGAAATGACTATTAACAGTGACATGCTTCCTCTAATCAGAACTATCTAGCACACACTTGCTCTTGATGTGGAATATACTAAAAAGCATACGTACTTCACAGGGCCTGGTTTTTCAAAGCCTTGCAGTTTCAAATATTGACCTTGCAAGGACAGGAAATTTTCCTCAGGCTATAACTCTCTGGTATGAGATAAAGATTGTGGCACAGCAAGGTTGTTGGCTCAAGGACAGACTAGTTACTGATTGTTATGTAAAGATACTGAGAAACTGCTAGAAGGAGAAGGAATGTTTGCTAAATCAAGCCTTTGTTAGTGGATCACTTAATTGCCTAACAGAATGTCATCTGACTTGTTTTTAGTGAATGTTACCAGTTTCTATTGTAAAACTTGTAAAATTGTACTTAGCAAAACCCCACCTATGTCTCTTCCTATAACTTGCTGGTCTGGAGAATAAATGCAGGAAGAGAACCCCAATTCGTGGTTAATTTCCCAAATAGAAGAAATGCCTCGCGCTTGAGGAAGTTCTGGGATATTAACCCCTTTCTGGGGCTTCGCACTGCTCAAAAGAGATGGGCTTTGAGTAATCTTTGGCGGCTCTGTCAACCAGAGGAAAAGGGGTGACAAATCTGTGGGAGGCAAAGCAACACTCTTGTGCTCAAACACCCCACCATTTCTGTCACAATGATCCTTAGAGGCAGAAATCATCATAGCACATTAAGTTGTTTAGTTGTATTTGTTTTCTTTTTTTTAAAGATGACTGGTAAGGGGATCTTAACCCTTGACTTGGTGTTGTCAGCACCATGGTACCCCAAGTGAGCCACAGGCCGGCCCTATATTTATTTTTTATTTAAGAGCACTCGTTTTTTTGAAGACATTATCTCTACCAACAACTATGTCCTAGGAACATTTGAAATTTCTTTTTTTCTATTTTTGACTTTTTTTCTTTTTCTTTTCTTTTCTTTCTTTCTTTTTTTTTTTTGCAGCTGGCCAGTACAGGGATCCAAACCCCTGACTTTGGTGTTGCAAGGTAATGTTCTCTAACCAACTGAGCTAAACGGCCAGCTCCATTTGAAATTTCTAAGCACAAATTCATAGGGTCAGAAAATATCAGAGCCAAAAAGAGGCTACTGATACAATCTAGTTCAAGTCCTTCCATCCACAGAAATGGAAGCTGAGACTTAGAGACAGTTACTCATTTGTCCAAAGTGACATAACTAGCCAGGGGCAAGGCAAGGAGGGCCCTCCCACCAACAATCCACCTAACTTTCCAAATTCCAAGGAGTCCTGCTGGCCTCCAGACCTCAGGTAATGTACACAGCTAACATGAAGTCACCCTCTGGGACTCCCTTGGCCTGGTGGTAGCTCCAAAACAGGTTCACACAGCTGCCCCACTCTAGCAAGTCTTGGTTTATGGGGAGGGACCAGAAATTGGGCCATCTCCTCATATCAGCTTTGGGACAGGGGCACAATGATTTAGACTTGGTGGCTACA